CATCGCTGGCGGCCGACTTTGATGCCGACCTAGGCAAGCCGGCGGCGAGCGATGGGAGGGAGGTAGGAAGAGGCGGAGGAGACGATGGACCCGTCAGAGGAGAAACCGTCGTCCGCTCTGACACCAGCCCATGCTCCGCCTTCCACTCTGCCAGAGACAGCGTCTCGTAGAAGATTGCCTTCACAGTTGTGACAATGCGGTTGTCAGTGAGATCGAGCACCTCCCAGCCCTTGCTCTCCGGCGAAACACCAAGGTGAATGCCCCAGCGTGCCTTCGGTGCCAACTTTCCGCCGCGCTGCTGCTCGGGGACCATGAACTGCACCATACAGCCCCACACACGCGCCAGCGTAAGGTCCGGCTTCTGTTCGAACAGCAGCTCATACGGCGTCGTCCTCGGAGGAAGGGAGGCCCGTTCGAGGCAGTTGCGCACCCAGACGGCGTGACGAAGAGCGAGGTGCCACCAGTGATGCTTCACCCCCATGTGAAGCAGCATCGTCCGCACAGATTCGACGACCGTGCGCATCTCCCGCTCCGCCATGCCATTCTGCTGCGGAGTGTAGGGGCAGGTGAGGTTGTGGAGGATACCCTTGTCCTCGACAAGTTCGGTGAACTTCCTACCAAGAAATTCGCCTCCGCGATCCGAGCGCAACCTTTTCACCGTCATCGAAGTCTGTCGCTCCACTTCCTTCAGCCACTTCTCGAAAACGACCAGCACGTCGCTCTTCTTCGCGATCGGGCGGACCCACACAAAGCGGGTCTTCCGATCTTTGAGGAGGAGGAAGTAGAGGCTCCCATCTGCGGCGGCCACACGGAAGGGGCCACAGAGGTCAATGTGCACGACGTCGAGGGCGTTTGCAGCCTCTGATCCCATCTCTGGAAAAGTATGACGCACCAGCTTGCCGCCGACACAAGAGGTACACGGCAAGTCGGCACCAGCTGACTTCTGAATGTCCAGAACGATGGCAACGTCATGCTTGGCCGAGTTGAGAATCGTGTCAATGCCGACGTGCGCGAGCCTCGCGTGCCACTTAGCCGGCTTTGACTTCGTCGCCGATGCGATCGTCCGCAGAGCAACTGCTTCTGTCGCAGATGTAGTCGATTTCGAGGAGCAGGGGCGAAGGTCGGTGCAGAGAACTCGGCCGGTGTAGCGTGCTCGACCGAGCACATCTCCTGCAGCGGAAACGAGCAGCATCTCGTCACCCTCGTGCTTCAGCTTCACGCCGTTTTCCTCCAGCTGGCCAGAAGACAGTAGGTTCGCGTGTACGCCCGGAACGTACAACACGTCGGGGATGAGAACCTGCTTCCCAGTCTCCCCTTTCAGAGCAACTGTGCCACGGCCTTCGACGTTCTGAAGCGCCCCGTTGAATCCGCGCACGTGACGGATTTCTCCTCTTGGCTTCATTTCGACGAAGGCCTCCCGCGTTCCCATCAGATGATGGGAGCAGCCACTGTCGAGGAGAACCACAGTCGGATTCGCCTGGACGGCTGCTGCGACCGCCTGGAAGTCTTCGCCAGCCTCCGGCGCCAGCGAAATTGTTGGCTCGACCACGCCAACCATCGAACAAGAGGCTTTCTTTTCGTTCGAAGAATCACCCTCTGATTTCGACGCCGTTTTCGAGGACGCAGGCTTCTCCTTGCGCGGCTGGTTGTCTCGACGACGACTGTCGCTGTCAGACTTCCCGTCCTCTGAAAGACTGGCACTGTCAGACTTTCCGCGGCTCCCTCTCTGATTGTCGTCGGACTCGTCGCGATCAGGGCAGTCGTAGGAGAGGTGGTCAGGGTCTCCACAAATGTAGCAGCGGCGTCCTCCTCGACGCGAACCACTGCTTCCGCGATCATTGCCCTTCGCCGACTTTCCGCGGTCGGCGCTCTCCGTAGACTTGGTGTTCGACGACTTTCCGCCACCGCCTCCACCTCCGCCCGACTTCCCACGCTGCCCCGTCTGACGTCCCTGCTTCGTCGGAGCAACGTAGTTAGCCTGCGGAAGGAGCTCTGAAGACCGCTCAGACTCCTGCATAAACTCGTCCTGGATGATGTGACTCGAAAGCGAATCCTCGTTCAGAGTTTCGCGCGTGCCGGGCATTATCAGCATCCGTCGCATCAGATTGTAGCTCGAGGGGAGGCCGTTGATGACATGCGTGACATACGACGCCACCGAGTACTCGAAACCAGCCATCCGCATGTCGGCCAAAATTCGCCGCGCTCGATTGCAGTACTCGGTCGCCGATTCCTGCTCGCCCATGCGAATGGTGGCCAATTTCTTCTCCAGTTGGCTGATGTAGAGGTCGTCGGTCGCTCTGTAGGTGCGCATGATGTACTGCCACGCTTGGTAGCCGGCGTCCACTTGAAGTCGGCACTGCTTCAGCGCGACTTGCACCAGCGGCGAACAACACCTCGAAATGACCATGAAGGTCAGAAGGTGAGCAGCGCGAAAGTCCACCAACATTTCAGAGTCGTCTTCGTCCGGCATCTCCACCTTGCCGTCAACGAACTTCTTCAATCCGGCGATCTCCAGCTGAGGTTCGATTGACTCAATCCATGTGATCAAGTCATGTCGTCCTTCGAGCGGCTTCGGCACAGCGATCCTGTCCGGCGTAAATTTGAAGTAGCCGTACGCTGGCGCGATGCCTCCGTCGCGACCAGCCGACGCATGAGTCGCCGATGTCGGCCTGGCTCCACTCCGCTGAGGAGAAAGGCGTCGACCATCGATGTTGCCGTTCGAACTTCCCGCTGCCGCCGAGCGCTGAACTCGTGCCTGCATTCCGCCGACGCCAAAGTCAGCGGCCCGAATCACTCCACGAAGCCTCGTGCTGCCTTCGCTGCCGACTTGGTTACCACCGTCGACCTGGTCGTCGACGCCGCCTTCGTTGCGTGCCGGTCGGGGAGTGGCGGGCAGTCCATCCGCCTCAGTACGGGTCGTTGGGTGCTCGCGCGCCCACTGCACGCAGGTTCCAAAGTTGCTCCGCCGTACTCGCCAGCTGCGTGGCGTGCCCGAACGTCATCTAACCGCGCCTGCAGGGTATCCTCTACGACTGCAGCGACCTCCTCCTGGTCGACCATGGCGGTTTAGACTGCCGGCCTACTACAACTTAGGTATTGAGCACTAAAGTCGGCTACTCTGAAGGTTCTAACGCGGGGCTGGTCCACGCTCACCGCACCATGCGGAGAGTCACCCTACAACGGGTGTGAACTACGAAGGAGAGCACGGAGTTGTGTGGGTGATCGTAGCGCTCTAGTAGCGTTCTAACAGAGTTCTCACTACTTGCTCTGTTCACAGAGAGATTTGGCAAGAGTTTCCACTAAGGAAATTGAAAGTACATTGAGAAATTGAGAATTAGAGTACAAGAATTGAGCATACAAAGTGATATCTCTAGAATGGCATTAGAATCTCTAGCACACATTCTGCAAGGCGAATTGCCAGCACTGCATCAGAGCGATTCGCCAACGCTGAAACAGAGCGGTCTGCCAGCGTAGCAGAAGGGCGACATGCCAGCGCTGCAGCAGGGCGGCCTGCCAGCGCTGCATTCGCAGGTGAATATCTGCGCAGGTGTGCACCTGCCGAGTAGGTGCAGGTAGACGGTTGCACCGTCAGAGACATTGCGCAGGTGCCAGGTAGAAAACGCTCCGACGGTTTCGTCAGATGTCCACCGTTGAGCACGTGATGCCATTTCGGAGGTCGAATTTCGCTAAGAGCCACCTGAGCGAATTTCGCATGCCCTCGCAGAGTTTCGCAGTCGCGCGAATTCGGCCGACCAGTTCGCCGAGCTGACGCTCGCCGAACAGCGCCCTTCGATCAGAGAACGCGGCTCCTCGGACAGCACCCCGTCCGTCAGAGATCGCGCGACCCAGAAGCAGATCAGAAGACGAGCTCGTCGAACAGCACCCCGTCGATCAGAGCTCGTCGATGGACTGGTGAATCAGAGGACAACCTTCCTCGAAAACCACCCGCGGTTTCAGAGGACGGGCTGATCCAATGCGACGATCACTTCGTCGAATTCACCACGTCGTCGCAGAGAATGCCTGCGCCCAAGCGAGGGCGGGGCCTTTCACTCCGACAACATGCTCTTAATCTTTTCATTGACCATACCCACCATTTGTCTCCCTTTCTTTTTGTTGCCTAGTTACATTCTGTCTATAGGTAATTTAGTTACATGAAGGAAAACATCCTCTCACAACTTGCTTCTTTTTGGATATCCAATGTGGATTCATATATGTGAGCCATTTTCTAGTATACAGTTCAAGGTTTACTTTGCTATAAGTGAATCCTCCTTTTCTCAGCCGTTCAACCCACAACGCTTTGTTTTATTCGCCAGAAATGGACAGGCGCGACTCGGTTGGGTGAACTGCTGGGCTGAACCGCGTGCCACGCAACCATCCCGCCGTCCTTCCGTGACCGTGACCCATTCCCTCCCCTACCCCTGCCCCCACCCCTCCCCATCGCATTTCGCCTCGCCTCGCCGCCACATCACCTCACCTCCGCGTCGCGCCTCACCTCCTTGTCATCGTTTCCAGCACATCTCCCCTCCAGACCCCCCCGCCTAGCCCCACCGAAACCTGCTCCCCCCTCCCTCCCTCCTCACCACGCCTCCTCACGCCTGCTCTGGTGGAATTCGCATACAAGGGGCAAGGAATTCGCCCATAATTCGCCCATAATTCATCACTCCACCATTCGCCACCCCACCCGTCTATGTAGCCAGCCCACTTCAGTCGGCTTTTCTCGCAGCCGCTATCTATTCGACAGCTGCTGAGCTTCAGACGGGCTACTATACAATCCCGTCAGTTGTTTACCTCACCCCTTTTGTTTCCAGCACACCTCTGCGACTACGATTGTTAGTCTGTTAATCTCCGCGAGCCTTGCCACTGGCAAAGCTCCATTCAGAGTTCATTCCCGTCAACTGCCATACAGTTTCAGTGACTAGCGAACAATCCCAGCAGAACTTTCCGTAACTCGCGGCACTACGCGTCCCCGTTTCTGAGAGTTTTCCGCCACAGCCGCCGCCATGTCGTCCCCGCCGAGCTCCGCGCAGCAGCCCGCGGCGCAGCAGAGCCTTCTGGCCAAGAAACTGGTCATGGGGGCAAGCGTGGTGCTCTGGATCGCTTTAAGCTTCTCCGTTATTATCTTCAACAAATACATTCTCGATAGACGACTGCTCAACTGGCCGTTCCCAATCAGGTGAGCTCTTGAGACATTAACTTAATGTCTCATTGTCACAGTGACTTAATGTCTCATTAACTTAATGAGAGTTGAACTCTCATTGTCACAGCGACCATCGATAGCATTATTCCTTTCTTTTGAATTAATGGGAATGGTGCGAAAGCTGACTTGTTTCGACAGCTCGAGCCGATGGCGCGGAAGTCTCAGCAGGCTATAGAAACACTCTGAGAGACGCCTGTGTCGCCTGACCAGCGTTCCTGACCGGCGCTCGTCTCATCGCGCTGCATTTCTCGACCTCATCCTCCTCTCTCTTCCGCCACCCCTTGCCGCCAATTGCGCAGTCTGACGATGGTGCACATGGCGTTCTGTTCGTCGCTGGCCTTCCTGCTCGTCAACGTCTTCCGCGTCGTGCAGCCGCTGCCCGGCGGGCTCAAGCCCGACATCTACTGCACCAGCGTGCTGCCCATCGGCGCGCTGTACGCGCTGAGCCTGTGGTTCTCCAACTCGGCGTACATGTACCTGTCCGTGTCCTTCATTCAGATGCTCAAGGCGCTCATGCCCGTCGCCGTCTACCTGCTCGCCGTCGCCTTCCGCAAGGACGCCTTCCGCGCCGCCACCTTCGCCAACATGCTTCTCATCGCCATCGGCGTCGCCGTGAGCGCGTGGAGCGAGGCCAACTTCAACGCCACGGGCGTGCTGCTGCAGCTCGCCGCCGTGGCGTTCGAGGCGACGCGCCTGGTGCTCATCCAGATGCTGCTGACGGCCAAGGGCATCTCGCTCAACCCCATCACCAGCCTCTACTACATCTCGCCCGTCTGCCTGCTCTTCCTCTCCGTGCCCTGGTTCCTCGTCGAGTTCCCCACGCTCGTCCCCGCCATGGCGGCCGGCGCGCACCCCAGCGCGCTCGTGTTCGGGGCCAACTGCGTATGCGCGTTTGCGCTGAACCTGGCGGTGTTCCTGCTGATCGGCAAGACATCGGCGCTGACGATGAACGTGGCGGGGATCGTCAAGGACTGGCTGCTCATCGCCTTCTCCTGGTCCGTCATTGCCGACCAAATCACCACCCTCAACCTCCTCGGCTACCTCCTCGCCTTCGCCGGCGTCTGCTGGTACAACCGCGTCAAGATGCACGAGATGAACGCCAAGGAAGCAGCAGCTAAGCAGGCGCAACAAACGGACGAGGAGACGGGCCTTCTTGAGCCGCCCAGAGAGGCTCAAAAGTAGGGCAAGCTAGCGGAGAGAGGTGGTTGTAGAAAAGGCTGTGGCCAGTCTCCCCATTTAGAATATATAAGGCCTCCGTACATGTAAAGTCTGAAGATCATGGGTGGAATTTACATGGGTGAAAATTTGCCCATGACCTTCAGACTAAACATGATGGGTACTCCACTTTTTGCTACCCATGTCCTGAATGCATTTCGAAAGCAAAAAAGCTAATTCTGCGAAAACGTTTGAGGATGTGGGGTACCAAAAAAACAGAACAGCTTTGGGGGTTGATTGAAGTGTTTCCAATAGGAATTATGCAAATCTTGGTCTTCATTCTTGAATAATGCTCGTACAGTCGTACTATTGCCATTGGCAAATGTATCGGTACTCAACTGTCACGAAAACATGTTCATTTGTGAGAGAAATGAGGGAACCTAAACTGCACACAGATACACACACAATGTACAACTACCAATACACATATGCACAAACACATAAAAGCGCCTTTCATCACTCCATCCACCTATAAAAGCCGCAGATCAAACAAGCAGCAAACAGAGGGAAACTTGGGGCATAATCACATCACTCATGTAGCAAGAAGTGAGTACCGTACCAAGCAGGCCTCAGAAGCCTTCAAAGGCAGTATGTGCAGTGGGAGCAGCAGGAGCAGCGGCACCACCAGTTGCTCCACCTAAAGCAGCACCAGCAGCGGCAGCAGTGGCAGCAGCAGCAGCAGGCCGGCAGCATGCCTGCGAGCAGTGCTCCTTCGTTCCATACTCTCTCCCCAGGCCACTCCCGAACTCCTTCCCGCCCGCATAAATCCTATTGCTGCACAAATCTCCGCCACCTACTCTGGCACTGGCACCGGCACTGGTAATGGCGCTGCTGGTGCGCCTGCTATTGCACATGGAATGCAGGCCATGAGGCGCGTGCAGATGGGACTCGTGCAAGGGAGCCAGTCCCATGCCAGGTGAGAGGTACCGAGCTGCTGTGGCATCCGGGTAGAAAGCAGGGTGAGGGTGGGTGTAGTGCAGTGGAGCATGGCGCATTGGCGTGTAGGGATACAATGCCCCTGCTCCTGCTCCTCCTGCTGCTGCTGCTGCTGCTGCAGCAAGGGAAGAGCCAGTGGAGGCGAGAATGAGTTGCTGCTGATGGTGCGAGTGGGGTAGCGGGTGCGAGTTGGTGGTGGTGGTGGATGCAGCAGGGGCAGTCGCAGGGGTGGTGTCATTTGCAGCGGCGGCGGCAGCAGCAGCAGCAGCAGCGGCGGCGGCGGCGGCAGTACGGGTAGGTGTGGAGTGACGGAGAGAGCAAGAATCAACGATGATGGCATTGGGGCCAGCACTGGCACCAGCCACGGCGCCAGCAGCTGCTGCAGGCGGCGTGAGAGAGGCAGATGCAGAGGCAGCAGAGGCTGAGACAGACGCGGTGGGATCAGCAGCAGAGGTGAGCGCTGCATTGGCAACAGACGAGGCTGATGATCCGTCCTGGGCCCTGTGTGACTGCCCGTTGCTCTCACCACCCTCCTGCTCCTGCTCCTGCTGCTGCTGCTGCTGCTGCTGCTGCTGCTGCTGCTGCTGCTGCTGCTGCTGCTGCTGCTGCTGCTGCTGCTGCTGCTGCTGCTGCTGCTGCTGCTGCTCCTCCTCCTGCTGCTGCTGCTCCTGCTGCTGTTGCTGCTGCTGCTGCTGATGGTGATGTTCAAAAGACCACGATGCACCAGCACCACCACCAGGAGCATCAAGAGAGCCAGCAGGCGTACCAGAAAGAGGAGCCAGAGCAGCAGCAGAGGCGGGAGAAGCAGGCAGATACCCCATCTGCTGCCCCACACCATCGTACCAAGGCAGGCCACGCGGTGCAGACCCCAGCGAATGACCAGCCATGACATGATGAGACGCGCCTGATACAAGCCCTGCACCTGCCCCTGTATCTCCTCCCATCACCGCCCTTGCATGAGCCGCCGCCGCCGCCGCCGCAGCTGCCGCTGCTGCTGCTGCTGCTGCAGCTGGGGATGGGGACAGCAAACCCATGGAAGGGTGGTGGAGCGAGGCGAATGGGTTGAAAGCGCGGTGAGAGGTGAAGGGATTGCACCAGGAGGCACTGGCAGGGTCTGCTGCTGGGTGCATGCGGCAGTGCTGTGATGGCATTGTGGTGCGGAGCGTGGGGATTGAGGGCAGAGCGGGGAGTGATGTGCCAGCTGCAGCGGCAGCGGCGGCAGCAGCAGCAGCAGGGGACGAGGGGCTGTACATGGGAAGTGAGTGTGGGTGAGGCCTGGAGTGCGAGAGGAAGGCGGAGGAATGAGGGTGCGCGAAGGGAAGAGAGTGAGGGTGATTGCCAGATTGCGCATGTGAGTAGGAGTGGAGAGAGGAGGCAGGAGGGGCGGTAGAGGTCCCAGTGGGAGCAGTCATGCTGGCAGAGAGTGGGTGGGCCTGATGCTGATGTTGGTGCTGCTGGTGCTGCTGTTGGTGGTGGCAGCGGCATGGCTTAGAAGGGCCGGAACGAGGGGTTGATTCTCTAAGCGATGCGTGCTGCTCCATGCTGCCGGTGGTGCCACTCTCATGTTGCTGTTGATGTTGATGCTGTTGCTGCGGATGGTGCACAGAGGGATATCCCCCACTTGAGCAGGCATCATGCTGATATTGCAGATATTGCTGGTGCTGCTGGTGCTGCTGGTAACGGCAATGATGCTGATGATGCACCATTTGCTGTCGCTGGTGCTGCATCTGCAGCTGATGCTGGTGCTGCCGCTGATGCAGCTGCAGCTGCAGCTGATACTGGTGCGCCTGTGCTTCCTGCTCCAGCTCCATGCGCCTTGCTGCATCCTCCATTACCACGTCTCCCATATTCCCCTCGCTCAACTCCTGCTGCTGCTGCTGCTGCTGCTGCTCATGCTGCTGCTGCTGCTGCTGCTGCTGTTCACGCTCGTGATTGAGATGGTGATGGTTGTGGTGCTGATGCTGGTGGTGACAGTGGTCCTCGTCACCTCGCTCGTCCATAGGCGCGCAGAGCGAAGCAGCAGCGGCCAATTCCTGAGCAGACTCCAGATGAGAGAGAGCAGGGCGATCCGCGCTCACACCACTGCCCGATGCCCCTTCTTCGTTAGACTCCGCTGCTGTAGCAGCAGCAGCAGCAGCAGCAGCAGCAGCAGCAGGGCTGGCAGAGACAGTCTCGCCCTCCGCACCAGCAGCAGCAGCAGCAGCAGCACCGGCAGCGGCAGTGGCAGCAGCAGAAACAGCAAGGTGAGATGAAGCAGCAGCAGCAGCAGCAGCAGCAGCGGCGGCGGCGGCGGCGGCGGCGGCATGGAAACCGCCATGCACACTGGGATCCCCCTGCCCGTCATGCCCCATCACATCCCCACCCCCATCCACTACCGCAGCCCCACAGTCACCAGCACCCGCACTATCACTCACAAACGCACCACAGAGAGCAAACCCGTCATCATCCGCACGCGCCTGCGCCAGTTCATCCTCTCCATCCCCATCCCCATCCCCATCCCCATCCACACCCCCACCCTCACCCCCACCCCCATGCCCATCCCCGCCCGCATGGTGCATGGCAGGGAAGTGCAGGGGAGAAGGAGGCAGGCCCATGGCGAGAGCGAGGTCGCAGCCATCAGGCCCGCCCAGGTCCATGAGATCGCCTAGACTGCTTGAAAAAGCGGATGTTAGCATGCCTGGACTAGCCCACATGCTCTTGCACGCCACTGCTGCGCCTGAGGGTGTTGCTGTTCCTGGTGCTGTTGCTGGCATCACCTTGCCGCCTGTGGAGGAGAATGGGGGCGGTGGGTAGTGGGGGGAGCGTTGGGGGGAGGGAGAGGGGTTGTTAGAAGGTTAGCATGTGGCTGGGTTGGCAGTGGTGGCATGCGTGCAACGAGTTGTGAGATGGACGGGTAGGTTTAGAAGGAGGGAGGAAAGGTGGGGTTGAGAGAAAAAGGAAGGGAAGAACAAGAAGAAGAATTGACAAGAATCTAACGCTATGGGCGCGGAAGGAGATGCAAATGCTGCATACTGTGCAGCCATACCCTGTGGGAGGGCGTGTGCAGTCATATGGTGGTCGGCTGGGAGGGCGGCGGGGGTGGAAAGAGCAGGGAAGTGGTTGGCAGGGACGTGGTGCAGTGGCGCTGCTGCAGCGGCCGCAGCACATGTGATGCCGTGCGCTGCTTGCTCCATCTCCTCGACTGTCAACCCCGCCAGGTGTTGGTCCTCCTCGTGCAACGCATGCAGCTCGTGCTGCTGCTGCTGCTGCTGCTCCTCGTGCTGATGGTGCTGATGCAGAGTCGACTCAAAAGTCACCTTGTGATCCTGACCCTGATGCTGCTGCTGCTGCTGCTGCTGATGGTGCAGGCTCTGTTGCACCTCCCCCTCTTCCACGACCGAGCTTGTGTTCTGAGCTTGCTGTGACGCCCCTGGATGTGCAGCCGGCAACACCATGGGATCACCACCAGCAGCATCAGCATGAGCAGCAGCAGCAGTGACAGCAGTGGAAGCAGTGGCAGCAGCGGTGGCAGCAGCAGCAGCAGCAGCAGCAGCAGCAGCAGCGGCAAACGACTTGCCTTTCCCTCCGTGGTCAGATGGTAACCGCAGCCTCTTCCCCTCGCGCTTCACACAGTACACTCCATCAATCTCCCCCTCCACAACACCCCCACACGCCGCCACTGCTTTTGCCACTAGCCCACGAACCACCACCTTCTTCCTCTCCCTCTCCCTCTCCTCCTCCTCGTCTTCCTCCTCCTCCCCATCCTCGTCATCCTCCTCGTCCTCCTTCTCCTCCTCCCCCTCCCCCTCTCCCTCCCCTTCCCCCACCTCTTCCCCCACCTCCCTCTTCGCCTCCCACGGGAATTCAAACCCAAGCTTCGAGGAATCTCCCAGGGCCCAGTCATCCTCGTTAAAGTCCATTCCGCCACAAGCACTAGCCACCGCGTGTGAATCCGCACCAGTAGGCGCAGCAGCAGCAGCGGCCGCACCAGCACAAACGGCAGACGCGGCCGCAGCAGCCGTAGCAGTAGTGGCAGCTGCAGCAGCACCAAGGTCGGCAGCAGTAGCAGTGGTGGTGGCAGCAGCACCAGCAGCGGAAGCAGGACCAGAGTGGCAAGACGAGGTGCTGATGGTGCCACGTGGCATTGCACCCCCTTCACCCACAGACACAGGCGGTGCGCCGAGACCCGAGGGTTGACACGTGGGGCGATGGGATTGGTGCGAAAGGTGGGGATGGTGGGAGTGGTGCGAATGGTGCAGGTGGTGGTGCTGCCGCTGGTGGGTATGTTGGTGAAGGCGATGGGGGTTGGCATGGCTGACACGGATGCGTTTATGCAATGAGTGATGCGCCTGCTGCTCCTGTTCACACTGCTGACTGCCGCTGGTAGTTGTGGTCGTCGTGGTGGCGACAGCAGCAGCAGCGTTGCCGTCTGCCTGTTTGCTCTCCCCATACACGTTGTTGCTCTTGCCCGCGGTGCCAAGAGCAACGCCATCATTGTTTGTCGTCGTGGTTGTCGTGGCACATGGCCCCGACACGCACACACTCACAGTCTCTCCCCCGCCTCCTCCGCCCCCACCTCCCCCCCCTCGTCCTCCCGCCCTAAGAGCCTCTCCCTCCGAGCAAGTACCGGCAGCAGCAGCAGCAGCACCGCCAGTGAGAGACGTGGATCCACCAGCACCACCAGCAGCAGCAGCAGCAGCAGCTGCTGACTGCCCGATGTATGCCCCACCAGAGGCAGTAGTCGCAGCAGCAGGAGCAGCAGTGGCACCAGCGCCGGTGGCGGCAGGTGCAGAGGAGGCAGGAGTGGCAGGCAGGGCGAACACCACGTGGTTCTGCTGCCGCCTCGCACCCACACCCGCCGCCAGCGCTGCTGCTGTGGGTGCTGCGGAGGTGGCCTGGTGCTGCGCTGGCAGGTGCACGTGGGGAAGGAAACGACTGGCCGTACCGCCAGGAGCACCAGCACTGGCGGGAGCAGCAGCAGCAGCGGCGGCGGAAGCAGGTGCGGGGATGGGGGGAGGGAGCGCAAGGGGGGAGTTGAGTCTCCTGGGAGTGAGGGCGGCGCAGGCAAGCGCAGGCGAGCACCCAGTACTGCCAGCTTTGGTGGGGAGCGACGGCGCAGGCGCGGACAAAGCAGGCACGGCACGTGATGGCAGTGCGGAACCTGCAGCAGCTGCCGCAGGTGCCTCGGAGGTCACGCCACTATCCACGCCAGCGGCAGCAACAGCAGCACCAGGAGCAGTCCTCGCAGCGGCACCAGTACCAGCCGCCCCTGCGCCAGTTCCCCTTCCAGCAGCGCGCGCAGCTGCGCGGGCGTTGCCAGCGCCAGGGGCGGGGAGCGACGTGCCCGTCGACAGAGCCGCGGCCGCCGGAGCCGTTGCGGTCGTCGCCGTCGCGCGCCCCGCGGAGCCATCACCTCCGCGGCCGCCGCCATGCGGCTGCGCGGAAGGAAGCTGCGCGATGGCTTGCGCGGCGTGCATGAGCAGCCACTCCAGCGCTTCCGACGGGTGGTCCGCGCCGAGCCGGTCCTGCACGTCGTAGAACGCGAGCGCCGCGGGGACGGACAGGCGCACGCGCCGGTCGCGGAGCCCCTTGGAAGTTTGCACCTTGCTGTGGCGGTCGCGGTGCGGGGTCACCGCGGCGCCTCCTGCGGTGAGGTTGGAAACGCCTCCGCCACCGCCGCCGCCGCCGCCGCCATCGGACAAGGCGACGGCTAGCTCTCCGCCTCCGCTGGTCGTGGCGGCAGACGCGGTCGGACCCGCTCCGCCGCCCCTACCGTGAGCTCCGCCGGCGGACGATGCGGCACGCGCGTTCCCGCCGCTCTTTCCGGCGCCTTGGCGCGCGCCGCCACCTGCGCCTGATGCGCCGCGCGGCGAAGCTCCGCTGGCCGCCCAACTGCGCGCGCGGCTCTCCGTCTTGAGGCGCTTCAGAGAAATCCCCGTCCCCACGCGTCGCACGGCGTCGCCGGCGGCCGCATGCGACACGGCGACGGCGCCACCGACGGCATTGGTCGCAGAGCCTGGAGAAGCTTTACCAGCGGCGGAGCCGTCAGCGGCGGCGCGGTCGGCGGTCGGCGGCGAGCTTCTCGTTGCGCATGCGGCGCCGCCGTCGGCCTCATCGGCCACGTGGCGGCGCTTGCGGCAGGGGCTGCTACGTTCTGCTGCAGCAGAAGCAGATACAACTGTCGACGCTGCTGTTTCTGCTGTGGCGGCGGCGGCGGCGGCGGCAGCGGCGACGGGGGAATTGGACGTAGCGGCGAGAACCAGCGCCATTAGCGGCTTCCGAAGATCTTCCTTCAGACGTTCGGAGCCGCAGCAACGCGCGGCAGGCCCCAGAATTCTTCTGCGCACGGAACGCGGCCTTCGAGTCGTCCGTCTGTGCGTCAGAGGAGGCCCTCCGTTCAAAAGAGGCCCAGTAAAGATAACCTAAACAGTACACGCCAATGCAACCCCCACGCCTGTAGAGCTACTACTACTTGTAGTGGTTGTGGTACTGGTACTAGTGCTACTAACTTCCACGTGGTTTCGTAGCCCACGTCTCCGCGTTTTCCGCGCAGATTTCACCGCCTGCGCGCTCAATGCGCCAGCGATGTTGCTCTAATATCGCGCGAATGCCAACCAGACGGACGGCTGAGAACTCCCAAACTGCTGAATTCCGCTCCTGCGGCTGCCACGCCTGTACCGCCGGTAACCTCTCACGCTCTCAGGACACGACTGTTAACTTTCAGGTGGCTCCTCCTCGTCTCCGTCGCAGAAAAAACGCGCGCTGACGTGGCACAGTCTCCGCTCTAGGAACCAGGCGCCGCTGTCGCCGGGGTAACGGGAGATGTGCCAACGGCGAAGGCCCTGCAACATCTCCTTGCCGCGACAACGACTTTAGCTGCTCCGAAACGGTCGCAGCGATTGAGAGGTGACGCTCTTCTAAGCGGTGGCCTGGCGAAGGCGAGGTGGGAGCGATTGCGATTGCGAAAGGCGTGATTGACAAAGGCGTGAAATGGAAGCTGGTTGTAATAAGAACGAAGAAAGCGGGAATGGATGGAACGGATTGGTACGGATGGCCTGGCCACGCTTAAAACTTCGAAGAGCGAGAAAGAGCGGAGAGCGGTTCCACAGGCTCAGCTGACGAAGGAGGAACCAGCAAGGTGTTTGCAAAGAGCGACGGACGGAGCGTGAGAGACGAGAAGTGCTGGCAGAAAATAAGGCTCAGAAGAGAGAATATCGAGTGAGGTGTGCTGCGCGCAGTCAAAGATGGACGACGGACAGCTCGACCGACTCGCACTGGTGTAGTGCGAGGGAGACACAACAGGCAGACGTAGCTTCCCCAAGTAGATTCAGTAGCAGGCGAGGGGCGCGTGGCAGGTTGGCGACAAACGTAACCTCGTTGGCTTTGATTGCCGAACGCAATGATGTGGTCTTCGTGTGTGCGAAGACAGAAGCAGATTGGACGGACGATTTCGCCACCGCATGGGGAAATTCGCGTGCGAGTTCGCATGCGCGAAAGTGAAGTTCGAGGAAAACAAGCCCCTTGATTTGGCTGTCTGTACACACTTCAAATGCCACGTCCCACTGGTTGTTTCATTTGATTCTGCTCCTCACTTCTCCCTCCCTCCCTCTCTGGTTTTGTTCAACTGCCGCCTTTCATGAGTGTTGGGTGGCGTAAACCCAGGAAGTATCTCGACCAGCCCCACCTGCCCGAGGACACCAAAGAATTGACTGGGGATTTGATTCAGTTCTCACAGTGAATCGAGTGGGCACCGTAAACCGATTACTTGAAAATTGGAGCAGTAAATGAAACGAGTTCCACTAAAAAATCTCTTCCTAATCACTCAAAACCCCCCCCCGCTCCTTCCTCCTATGTCCCCACGTCCAACTACACAGTGTTTATGTTCAAAACGGTGTTTCCTTCTCATTAGAACGCCAAAATTGTGTCACACGAGAAAGGGTTTGGGAAAGTGCCCCAAAACGCCAGCCAGCTGAGGGCTCCTTTCCGAGCGCAGGTGTCTACAGTAGTACGTCGAAATCTTCACAGCACCAATGGATACATCTCGAACCGCTATTGTCGGTGTGGTCACCAGTTGTCCCCACTCAAACCAATGAAATCCTCCGCTTTCCTCACACTGCGTGGATACCTCAGCAATTGCGAGGGATCCATGCAGCTTCTCAGCATGCCACGTAATGGATGAGCTGCAGTGACGTGTCGCAAACGGACAATTGTCGATTATTCTTGGCATCCACAAGCTCGTCGAATGGCAGATGCATCGGTCATTCGACCGCAGAAGAAAACAAACTTGGCGAAGTCGCCATGATGTACTGTACCATCGCTATCCAGACTTCGAAGTCGCCGCGACATTGAAACCGCCCTTTCAAACCAACCCATCACACCGTAACGCAGATAGTGACAGTTGGAGATCCATCCAAGAATTCAGCCCCTATTGTGGAGTCTGCATTACAACAATTGATGCACCATTCTGGTTTTTCAAACGGCTTAGAGAATTTGGTCCTAGTCGCTTTCAAAATAGTAGTATGGCCTACTTACCTGTGACTCCCACACAGGTAAAACATTGCTATTTCTGCGTGATTCAAACTACTAGATTGCTGTCACCGTAGTCATTTTACTGTCACATGTCTTGGACAGAAGGTTGGACCCAACTAGAAGAGGGGGGTCACCATTTTGCCTGCTGGCTTTAAGACCATCTCAAACCCAAATGTACGTGCACTGTTTTCCCCTCCTCAACTATTTGTCCAAAACATACAGAAGATCACAAGCAGAGCATGGCCAAAACGCATGCAGCAACAGCACCACTTCACACGTCCACTTATACCGGTACCAGAAACACTAGCTCAGCGCCATCCTAGACCCCACTGGTCCAGCTACCCAAACCATTGCTTGCAGAATTAGCACCAGAGACTGCACCACTATACAGGCAGCTAGCAACCCAACACCTATCCATCTGCAACTGCATGAATTTTAGCTTCCAACCTGTCAAACCTCTGCCAACCCTCTCGCCATGCTTTGGACGGGCTTCAAGCAGCAGTGGCAGCAGGTGTGCCTCTGAGCTTGAACACACAGATGCAGGAGCACGAGGTCTAAAGGAAGAAGAATCGAAAAGAAACACTCCAGCAGGCTTTTAGGGGGGTAAACACAAGAAAGGAAAGGAAGGATTGGAGTGAGGAGCGAGAGACAGCTCACCCCCAACCCTCTACAAGAGATGCAACCGCAGCGCCTTGACACCACCAGAAGCCCCCACCCAATATAATCCTCTCAAATCATTCACAAACTGCACTGCCAGGTCGATCTGCCCTCCAATACTTCAGACCCGTAGACAGCACACTTTGCTTCATCTCACGTCCCCATTACTGCCAGTGTTGCTGCAGTACTGCCTCATTGCTGCTGCATTTCCTGCCGCATTTACTGCCGCCCAGCCAGCTGGTGCGAGCTGGTGCTCTCAAAGATCTTATCGGCGTTGCCAACCTCAAAGCCCTCGCGCCGGTGGTGCTCCTGCACCTCGGCTGCGGGCAGGTGCTTGTGCTCTGGCAGCACAAGGCGCTCGGCAAACTCAAGGTAGCTGGAGGGCACGTCAAGGGTGACGCCATCGGCGAATTGGAATGGACGTGTGTCCGCCACACTGCTGCTCTGCAGGAGCATGCCGTCAGGGGAGGCTGCAGGGGTGCAGGGTATGGGAGGGGGTTCCGGGGAGGGGGTAGGGGAGACCAGAAGATGCAGGAAGATTGGGGCAAGACCAAAGGGTGATGGGGCTGCGAATGTTAAAAGGTGAAGCTAAGGTAGGTTGACAGGGATGCATGCATGGTGGAGAGTAACGAGACAGGATTGCCTTCACAGTCACGAAGGTCCACCCATGACGCTCACTCAACCCAACCCTCCCCATTCCCCCCCCTCTTCATCCTCCCCCATCCCCATCCCCATCCCCATCCCCATCCCCATCCCCATCCCCACCCCCATCCCCGTCCCCATCCGCAACCTTCCCTCCCCCCACCTACCCTTGAGGATGCTGCCATCGGAGTTGAGCGTGAGCCCCTTGCGCTGCAGGAAGTCATTGAGCGCATCAATAGCGAAGCCGGGGGAGCCGGGCGGCTGCTGGAAGACGTGCGGCTGCGTGCTGTGCACGCTCACCGTCGTGTGGTTCAGCGAGTACGCGTTCACCAGCGTCCACGCCGCGTACTCGCTCTCGCTGCCGGAGGGAGAGGAAGAGAGAGAGAGAGAGAGAGAGAGAGAGAGAGAGAGAGAGAGAGAGAGAGAGAGAGAGAGAGAGAGAGAGAGAGAGAGAGAGAGAGAGAGAGAGAGAGAGAGAGAGAGAGAGAGAGAGAGAGACGTGCGCGGGACGAGAGGGAGGAAGCGGGAAGAAGCGGGAGGGCGCGGGGGAGCGGGGAGAGAGAGGAGGGGAGGAGGAAAGGGTGGGAAGGAAGATGGTGAAGGTATTAGTGGGGAGGAAGAAAAGGAACGGGGAAAGGGATAGGAGAAGGAAAGGAGAGGAGGAGCGGTCCAACTAGCTCGCACACCAGCTAGCAACGAAACAAGGGTGGGCAGCGAGTGATTTGAGACACTTCTTCAAAACACGTCTCAAAACACTTCTTCAAAGGGTGGGCAGCGAGTGAGCGACGGCGATAGGAGCGAGCGCGACGCGAGGTGACGTACGCGGCGAGCGTCTGGTAGTCGGTGGAGGTGGGCGTGGCCCACGGCAGCGCGCCCGTCACGCTGGACACGGCCGCCACTTGCGCTGGCAGGGGGTTGAACGCTGACGTGTACTTGCGGATCACCTCCTGTTGAGGGGCGCGACGGCCGCGGATGGCGCATCACGGAATCGGAGAAGGGGAAAGAGGGACAGGTGAGAGGCCGCAGTGGGAAGGCGAGGGGGAAGGAAAGGAGGAGAGGGATGTTGGGGGAAGGGTTAAGTGATGGTAACGGACGTGGGAATGAGAACGGGGGTTACGCGTACGAGGCTGCAGTGAGGCTCTAACAGGACCGTTACCTGGGCTCTACGACATTGAATCACCTCTTCTCAGCATTGACTACTGTTCCAAAGGGTCAGCCCGTGACGGACAAGGGAAGACTCGGAAAGCATCCGAAACTCGTCACCACGCATGGATCGCGTTCCCGCACACCCACCTGGGCCGCGGCGCTCGTCTTATCCACTTCGAGCTCCGAGATGAAGACACGTGGCAGCTGCCTGAGCCCCACGCCGCCCTCGTCCGTCTCGTCGATGGCGAGCGAGTGCTCGGGCGGCGCGAACCAGAAGGCGCGGAGCTTCTTAGCG